TCTTTGTGCTGAATCAAAGAAAATTCAAGATCGGATTGTTCCATATTTTATTAGTGGCCGGCATCAAGGTGTATCAAACATATATGTGAGCCAGAAGTATACACAAACACCTAAAATTATTCATGAGAATATTTCGCACTTAGCTTTATTCTGGGGCTCGGGATCTAGAGATGACATTAGCAGAGTCGTACATCAATATACGGACAATCCAAAAAAAGCATCCAAAATTATCGATAAACATTTACGAGAACGAGAATTTGAAGTCTTCAATTTTACCAAACCAGTAGACAACCCTTTAGCAATTAGACTAGGATGGGATGCGCCATTAGCGTTAGATGAATAGAGTTTAGTTATTAATATATGTTATTGTGCTTCTACAAAAAATAAATTATTATAATAAATACGTAATATTTATTTTGATATCGAATCCATAGTCCGGAAAATTCGGCGCACATACTCACAATTATTGTTTGAATCTGAGAAATCTATGTTAATTTCTTCTCCCAGAATATAAATATATTTATTTTCGAAATAGTTGATTTTTAGCGATTCACACAGATATAGTTTGCCATGTGTTTTACACATATATTGTGAATACTCTAAACTTCTAATAATTCTTTCATTACCAGATTCATCAATACAGTAATATTCAGAATTCGATAACCACTTCAACATATAAGTCCATCCTGAATATTCAACAATTCTATAGCCTTGCCGATGTAATACTATAAAGACAAATATATATAATACAAACCTAATCATTCATGTAACTGATCTTTCTTCTTTTCTGCCTACTTGTATGAAGTATAATGATCATATAGACCATTCTGATGATATGCAGGTACATCTTTAGCTAAAATTTTTCGATCTATATACTATACATATCGATCATCAGAAATTCTTATATCGCGAGGAGTTATACCTAAAAACTTCTTCTCATTGGGAGTGCCATCATTCCCCACCATATTCCAAACTCGTTTCGCCCATGTTTCGGGTCTTAACTGGAAAGCTCTCCAAGCCTGTTGGATAACTTTTGCATTATTAATTAGACAATTTACAATCCTTTTCCTACCTTTATATGAATAATCATAACTATAATGAGCTAAACCTTTACTGTACATAACCCAATAAGTTTGATAAATTTTTCAATCTCATCGGGACTGAGCAATGATACACTCTTTTGGCTTGGCACTCCTTTGTTTTTCCATACAGGTTTAGAATATGCAAGGTATTTTTTGGTAATACATTTCTTCAGGTGATTACTAGCATATTCGATAGTGTTTTTGTAGATAAATACCAAAGTGTCGCATACAGTACAATAAATATAAAATGAACGCTTCTCAACCATAAATCTCCTATCTCTAGATCTTTCAGTCATATGGATAAATCTATTCTTGGAGAAGTATTTTAGGTTATTTTCTAGAAGTGTCCTAAATGGATAACAAATACGAGAACACCACATTTCAGGCGTTTCATTACTATACCTATATTGCAGATTGATTAATATCTGTGATATAGCAGAATTCAAACCATTATAGTAGTTAGTTTTAACCATTTTGCAGGTATAGTGATAATATATGTAGCAATTTTACTGATTTTACCGATTTATAGCAATTTCAATATCTTATAGCAGTTTGTAACAAGTATAGTATAATAAATATCCGATTCATTTTTATTTCACATCAACACTTTTTTGCATATGCAAGTAAAAAAATATTAATATAAAAAATATATCCCAATTGTGATCTCAAGAATAGTATTAGGAAAGCAGTGGACAACTATAGTTTAAATATATTCTTGAGTTTGAGTTTTAGTGGATAAACAGGTTCCACTCTGAGTCTTGTGCTAGAGAATATATATTCAAAAAATTATTAGATTGATGCGCAAAATATTTTTTATTGTGAATAGTATTAAAATTTTCTCGGTGGATACATTCGAATCACTCTCAGTGGTGTGGTTCGGGGTTTAAAACCTATGAAGTCTGCGTCACCTTCCTCCTCACACACGCCCCACATCAAGGATGACGATCACGCTTTTTTTCAAGCTCGAAAAAAGATCTATCTGGGTTACCGATATATCCGGATTACCGATATATCTGGCTTCGAGTGATTTAATCACAAGAAGGCGGGATTTTGAGGTGGATACATTCAAACTATTTCTTATCTTGTAGTTTAGTGGACTAAACCGCAGGAAGCTCGTTCGGTCTTCCTCTCCTTGCAACAAGATAATCATGATTTGACGATCACGCCATCAATAATAGTGTTTTGAAGGCTTGGAATTCAGATTTAATTGCAAATAGTAATCTTATATTAGATATTGTTAAAGAAGTTACATATAATAAAGAATAAATGTATTCTAAAAAATACATCAATAATAAAACACAGATACATTGGAAATCCTCTATAAATCATCGTAATCGAACTAGAACAATTAAGGATATGCAAATACTTGCAGAAAAAAAGGAGGGTTTTTGTATTTCAAATGAGTATATTAATAGACAAAATTCTCTTGAATGGCAGTGTAAAAAAGGACATAAATAGAAGGCCTCACCTAAAGATATTATTAAAGGAACTTGGTACAGACAGTGCCGATATCTTAATATTGATATAGCAAATAATATTGCACAAGAACGGGGTGGTAAATGCCTTTCTACAGAATATAAAAATACAAATACACCAATGCATTGGCGTTGTATCCAAGGTCATGAGTGGTATGCCCCTCTTACTCGAATAAAAGATAAAGGTAGATGGTGTGCACAATGTGCTGGTATCAAACCTTGTGGTCTTGAAGCTTGTAAGGAGATTGCATACAGTAAAGGCGGTGTATGTCTTTCTACTGAAAATAAAAATATTAATGTTTTAATGCAATGGGAATGTAGTAAAGGCCATAAATGGTTTGCTAGTTTTAATGGTATAAAGCATGCTAAAACATGGTGCCCATATTGCTTAAATAATCATGAAAATTTATGTCGTAAAGTCATAACAAAGATTCTTGGCCCACCTTCTGTCATTCGCAGACCAAATTTCTTAAAAACACCGGAGTATCCTCGAGGATTAGAACTCGATATTTATTATCCACAGTATGGATTTGCAATAGAGGTACAGGGTAAACAACATGAGCAATACGTAAAGCACTTTCACAAAAATGAGGAAGACTTTAAGAAGCAATTAATGCATGATCAGATCAAGAGAGAACTATGCGACGAAAACTGGTTCGTTCTTATAGAGATATGGTATTACGAAGATCCGCATATAATTATTCCGAAGTATCTTTAGGAGTTGGGACTTATTGACTAGCGAAATTGAAAAAATGTATAATTGAGCAAACTTGCCTTATTTCGTTAAACTTTATATATTATATATTGATTTTTGTCCCACTAGTCAAATAATGATCAACTGATCAACCGTATGACATCGTATGTTATATAAAGATCCATTTTTTATAAAATATTTTTGTACTTTCTAGAATTTAGTCTTGGAAGCTCATAGCAACGCCATGTCTGAAATTATGGTATTTAGGATTCTATATAATAACTGAACGGTTGAATTTAAGGTTTAATAAATTTTATTCTAATGAACCCAGAAAATCCGGAAAACCGACAGATTTTCTGTCTTGTTTTAGGTGACGCTATTGAGAAATCTTTCCCAGTTGATATTGATAAAGGCATGACCGTTGGGCACCTCAAAGAGTTAATCAAGGAGAAGAAAAAGAACGCCTTTGCCAATATTGACTCAAATGAACTGAGGCTGTGGAAGGTGGATATTCCTATCGGTATGGAAAACAAAAACACGAAAATATTTGCCGAAAACATTAATGATTATAAAGGTGTAGAGTTGCTCCCAAACGCTACTATGGAAACAGTTTTTCACAAAGAATCCGAAAATACTAAATTTTTTAGCATCCGCATCATCGCGCAACCGCCTGGATCACTTTCCACCCCAATGAAACGACCGGATGAATCTCAATTTTATAACCGTGAACCTGTTACTTCTCATGAGGAAGAATTTTGGAATGAACTTTCTGACGCGTATATTGTCCTTAAACTACCAGATAATATTGATAAAACTATGTTCGTGTCTGGACCATTATCCGAATACATAAGTGTTAAAGGGAACGAAATTGTGTTGAGTAACTGTGTAATGTTAAATGCACAAAATGAACTAATACTTAATAATGGTGAACCTGTGATGGGGGAATTAACAAAGATTAAAATGAATTTTGTGAAATTCCTACGTCTCCGTAAATCGCCATATGGAATTGTCTATGGAATATCAACACAGGATATATTAATAAAGGAGTCATATTTGCAGATGATTGAAAAGATTGAATACGATTGTACTCATTATGAAAAAAGAGGTTGTATCATAATTGGATCGCCTGGCATTGGAAAAACACACTTTTCGCTATATTTAGCTTTTTATTTGGCTCGTCGATATTCCCCAGCAGATATAATCTATGAGCAGTTATTCCAAGGTCATTCTCGTGCCCTTCATGTCAAACCAAATATAAGTGTAATGAAAATTCTTGATCTAACACGTGAATTTCCACAAGATAGCTTTTATATTGCTGATTCTGTAATTTCCGCTCCATGGAAAACGATATTCACATTTCTGGTTACGACGCCAAAAAGTGGTCGGTGGCATGAATTTGTAAAGGGGCATGTCAGGAGGTATTACGCACCAATCTGGACCGAAGATGAAATTTGGGACGTTTGGAATGTAACGTATAAAACTGAAATATCAGAAAATCGAGTCAAAGAGTTGATTACACGATGGGGGTGTATCCCACGAAGAATTTTTGATGAATATGACGAAGAGCCGAAAGTTGATGATGTAGTTTCTCAGTGTGATGCTTACGCTTACCTTAAAAATGATGGAGGAGATTTAGGTGACAACTATTCCGGAAAAGCCATACATATAATTCCTAACATTGATTTCACTGATAAAACATACGTTCCCGCTTCACCAGAAATATGTGAGGCACTGTTCAGGCACTATAAAAAACACACAAAAGACATAATTGTCAAAATAATCTGAAGTTTCACGAAAGGTGCTGGCGGTACATTAGCTGGAAAATTTTTTGAAATGGTTGCACATGATATTTTGAGAAAAGGTGGCACTTTTACAGTACGACAGTTAACCAAAGACGGCATTAAGCAACCCGAAGAACTTCAACTTCAAAATTTGCCACAAAAACAGTTTCGTAATATTAATGAAATAGTTCCGGGGTATTATAACATTCCCGAAAATGTAAATTTTGAATCTGTTGACTCCATTGCACTTCAACGTAACGGAATTCATCATTTATATCAAATTATGACAGCCGAAACACATGATATAAAGGTAAATATTGGTCCTTATATTGGCCTGTATCTACTATTACATGCTGAATATTTATGTGCAATGCTTTGCAGGTAAACGGTCTCAGTAAATTGGAAAATCACCTGAAAGACCTACCAATTCATCTATATTTCGTTGTTCCAAACATGGACGACACGTTTAATAATTTTCGTTTCCAGAAGTATGTTACGTCAGGAAACATAGAATATTCAGGATGGCATTTAACACATACTGAATGGATTAGAGATAATATAGCTCAATATGTTCTCTTGATCAATTTGTCAGATTTTAATTAGATAGTTTATTGAATATAAAATTACTAAAAAATAAATTTAATAAAAAGCATGGGTAACGGACGTTTAAAGGGAGGAATTTCTCGAGCCCTAACCCATAGAATGAGAGTTCCTTCCCGCTACTCTGTATTATTATCTAAGTTAAAATTATTTTTACTATCTATCCAAGCACCTATTTTATCTAAATTGCTACTTTTTAAATCATTAATCCTACTATAATATTTTTTGATCATATCTCTACTAAGTTTTCCCACCCAAGATTTAAAACTCGAAAGGCGAAAACTGTCCCTAAGAAGACTATACTATAAAACTAAATGTAATAAAAGTCAATTAACATACCTTTAGAGGAAGTGGTGTGTAGAA